GCCCCCGGGGGGGGGCCCCCCAGCGGGGGGAGGGAAGTGGGGGGGCCCCTGGGGGGGCCCCTGGGGGCCCCCATTCCATATCGGAGTCGATAAGCGAGTTTGACGCGGATGTGGTTCTTCCTCCGAGTGATGTGGGCCCTTTGTTTGAAATTCTTTGCAGAATAGAAGCAGCAGATGCAGAGGAAGCCCGCGATGGCTCCGCGCGGTCGGGTAAGAACTAAACCCTAAACCCTAAACCCTAAACCCTAAACCCTAAACCCTAATCTGTTGAACAGAAGGCCCCGGGCCTTCTGTTCCGGCGCCGAATCTCGAGCAGCCTCCGCCGAGGACACCCTGGCCGTGCGGCTTAGAGGGTTTAGGGTTTAGGGTTTAGGGTTTAGGGTTTAGGGTTTAGGGTTTAGGGTGTTGACTCAGAAGAGGTGACGGAGGCCGACCGGGAGCTGCTGCGTCGTTTGCCGCGGGGGTGCCGCCACAAGCTGGGTCTGTGGCGTCGGTGGCGCGCGAGCCAGCAGCAGCAGCAGCAGCAGCAGCAGCAGCAGCAGCAGCAGCAGCAGCAGCAGCAGGAGTGCGGGGACCCGCTGGCGCAGCAAGCAGCGAACTACCTGCAGGGCTACTTGGCCGTGTACGAGTGGCTGCCGCGGGAGAAAAGGGACTTGCCGCTGCTGCCGCAGGAAGTGCTGCAGTGGGCCCTTTTCCTTGTGGGGCGCGTGGGTGCTGCTGCTGCTGCTGCTGCTCCGCTGCAGCAGCAGCAGCGGGAGGCCCTCGCGGAGGCCCCCACCCACCAGCGGGGCACTGACAAGGTCCTCCTCTTCACAGAAGACCTCCACGCCTGGCTCAGCCAAAAGGCCCAACAAGTTGAACTCTACAGAACCACCAACAAACAGCCAGAGGCCCTCAGTCTCCAAAACTACCAAAACACCATTCGCTCTTGGAGACGCCTCGGCTACGACGCCCGCAGGCGCTGCTGGCTCGTGCCCCCCGAACAGGAACAAGGGCCCCCGGGGGCCCCCCACGCCCCGGGGGCCCCCCATACCCAGGGGGCCCCCCATACCCCGGGGGCCCCCCATACCCCGGGGGCCCCCCATACCCCGGGGGCCCCGGGGGGGCCCCACGCCCCGGGGGCCCCCGGGGACCCGGGGGCCCCCGGGGCCCCGGGGGCCCCGGGGGCCCCGGGGGACGCGGGGGCGAAGATGGAGGCGGGGGAGAGCCCGGGCAGCAGCTCCAGCAGCAGCAGCAGCAACGGCCCCAGCAGCAGCAGCAGCAGCAGCAGCAGCAGCAGCAGCAGCAGCAGCAGCAGCAGCAGCAGTTTGTTGTGCAAGTTCAGCAGGCACCACTGGGTGACTGCGCGGCACATTTTGGAGTTCCTCCGCTGCAGCGAAAGAAAATACCAAAGAGCCATAACAGAGCCAGGGGAGGCTGTGGGGGCCACGGGGGCCCAGTCCATAGGCGAGCCGGGCACGCAAATGACTCTCAAGACCTTCCACTTCGCCGGTAAACTTTTCTTTTGTCTCCTTTTGTCTCCTTTTGTCTCCTTTTGTCTCCGTTGTCTGCTTTGTCTCCTTCGGGCTTTCTTTGGTCTCTTTTGGGGGCTTTTTTTGGCTTTTTTTGGCTCTTTTTTGGCCTTTTTTGGCCCTTTTGGCTCTTGCCTTTTACTGTCTCCTTTTGTCTCCTTTTGTCTCCTTTTGTCTCTTTCTGTCTCCTTTCCATTTCGCCTCTGTTTCCCTTTTCCCTCCAGCCCCAGCCAGCCCACAGCCAGGCTGAAGCGCGTGGGCCTCAGGGCTGAGGGTTTAGGGTTTAGGGCTAGCGTCCGGGCCAGGGTTTAGGGTTTAGGGTTTAGGGTTTAGGGTTTAGGGTTTAGGGTTTAGGTTTGTGCAGGGGTGGCGTCGATGAACGTGACGCTGGGAGTGCCGCGGATAAAGGAGATAATAAACGCGGCCTCGAAGATCCAGACTCCGATAATAGAAGTCCCTTTGTTGAATTCCGGAGACTTCAACTGCGCAGTGTTGGTCAAAAACAGAATTGAAAAAACTCTAATTGCAGATTGCTGTTCTTACATCAAAGAGGTTTATTCCCCAGAGGGCGCCTGGCTTTCTCTCAAGCTCGACGCCCCCACCATCCGCGCCCTTTTCCTCGACATCAACGCAGACAAGGTGACCCCCACGCCAGCTAGCTGCAGCTAGCTACACCTAGCTGTGGCTAACTGTGGCTGGCTGTGGCTAGCTGTGGCTAGCTGTGGCTAGCTGTGGTTAGCTGTGGCTAGCTGTGGCTAGCTGTGGCTGGCTGCAGCTAGCTGTGGCTGGCTGTGGCTAGCTACAGCTAGCTGTGGCTTGCTGCAGCTAGCTACAGCTAGCTGCTTGTGTATTGAAATGTGTCCCGTAAATACTTTGCATAGATATATATATATATATATGTGTTGTGCTTTAAGAGTTGTAAAGAGTTGCAGTGAAGAAGCGGAAAAGTATTTAATTCTATATTTGCAGTTCAGTCTTTTCCCCTGTTTCCCTCTATAAACGCCCCCGCCGCCGCTGCTGCTGCTGCTGCTGCTGCTGCTGCTGCTGCTGCTGCTGCTGCTGCTGCTGCTGCTGCAGGTGAAGGAGGCGATATTGCGTCACACGATGATAAACAAAGTGCGGCTTTCGAAGAATTGCGTCGAAGTCGTAAATGAGTGGAAGCTCCGAGTGCTGCCTCCAGGAGGAGACCAAATTTTTTTCCAACTGCAGGCTTTGAAGGCGGGTGAGTTAATTTCTTTAATCCATTTTATTTAATTTGCTTTTTTTGTTTCTTTTATTTAATCCAATTCGGAGACTTTTTGCTCTTTTTGTCTCCAAAAAAGGCCCTTTTTGGACTCAAAGAGTTTGATTCTGACCCCCGGAGTATTGTTGTTTAATTGCGTTGACAAGAATTCAAAAAGTCCAAGTTGAGAATTTGTTTTATTTAATTAGTCCTCGGATTCTTCTTTGGGGCTTTTGGAGAGTTCACACTTTCATTCTTGTGCATGCGTTTTCCTTGGAATTTTATTTCCACTTTGTTCGAATTCTCTCCGCCGTTTCGTCCTAGCTGTGCAAATCGCGCAAACGCATGCATGCATGCATGCATGCATGCATGCATGCATGCATGCATGCAGCCCCACATGCATGCATGCGGCCCCGCATGCATGCATGCATGCATGGGCGGGCCTTTTGCATGCAGTGGAAGCCTGCGAATTGTGGCGGAGGTTCGCGTGCATGCAGGGCTGATGGAGGTGGTTTTGTGCGGCTACAAAGACGTGAAAAGAGGGGTCATAAAGCGGGAAGAAGTGAAGGGGCCCCCCGGGGGGCCCCCAGGGGGGCCCCCCGGGGGGGCCCCCGGGGGGCCCCCCAAATATGTTTACTGTTTGGCCGTGGAGGGCTATGGCCTGCGGGAGGTGATGGGCACTCCGGGGGTTCGGGCCACTGGGGTGACTTCAAACCACGTGATGGAGGTGGCTCAGGTTTGTCTTAGAATTTTTTCGAGAGTTTTTCTTTTTTCAAATTTTTAATTCACATTTGAGGCCCCCTAAACCCTAAAAGAGCGTTTTAGAGTTTTTCTTTTTTCAGATTTTTAATTCACATTTGAGGCCCCCTAAACCCTAAAAGAGCGTTTTAGAGTTTTTCTAGTTTTTCTTTTTTCAGATCTTAGTTCACATTTGAGGCCCCTCAAACCCTAAAAGAGCGTTTTAGAGTTTTTCTTTTTTCAGATTTTTATTTCACATTTGAGGCCCCGCAAACCCTAAAAGAGCGTTTTAGCTCCTCCACAGCTGCGCAGCAAGCTGCGGGGCCCCGAGGGTTTAGTTGTTTGGCCACTTCAGTTCTTTTGGAGGTTTTGCAAAGCCCTTTGAAGCATTTTAGGCTTTTCACAGATCCAAAGAAGGCCAGCAGCACTTGAGCTCCACTTCTGGCTAGCTGCAGCGGACTAGCTAGCTGCAGCAGACTGGCTAGCTGCAGCAGCCTAGCTAGCTGCAGCAGACTGGCTAGCTGCAGCAGACTGGCTAGCTGCAGCAGCCTAGCTAGCTGCAGCAGACTGGCTAGCTGCAGCAGCCTAGCTAGCTGCAGCAGCCTAGCTAGCTGCAGCAGACTGGCTAGCTGCAGCAGCCTAGCTAGCTGCAGCAGCACGGGGGCGCAGCAGCAAGTTGCTTTAGGTAGCTGCTGCATGTCTGTTGACAAATAAAAGTTCAAATAAAGTCAAACTAGCGCCAACTTAGTCAAAAAATGTCAGGTTTCTCGCCAAATGCAATTTAAAATATAATTTGTTTTCAGTTTACAAATTTAAAGTTTAAATTGGCGAGAAATGGCGCTTGAAGTTGCGCGAAACTCCCTAAGTTGCTGCTGCTGCTGCTGCTGCTGCTGCTGCTGCTGCTGCTGCTGCTGCAGATCCTGGGCATTGAGGCTGCACGCCAAGTCATTATCGACGAAATTCGCAAGTGTATGGACGCCTATTCGATGGACATCGACTGCAGACACATGACGCTCTTGGGCGACGTCATGACTTTCAGGTGGGGCTTTCTGCATGCATGCATGCATGCATGCATGCATGCGTGCATGCATGCATGCATGCGTGCGTGCGTGCATGCATGCATGCAGTTAGTTTATTTAATGCGAAATTCTGCTTTTCCGCATGCACAGCAGTTCCAGCTGGGGCTGGATCTTTTCAGATTGTGAATTGCAAAGCTTTCAATTTGTAGTTGATTAAATTTAGTTGGATTAATCTTTTCAAATTATGAATTGCATAGCTTTGAAAGCGAAATAAAAATAAAAGAAATTTGATAATTAATTCAATTTGCATGCGAAATTAACTGGATTAAATCTTTTCAAATTATGAATTGCGGAGCTTTGCATGCGAAATTAATTCGACTTGCATTTAAATGCAAATTCGAATAATTGACTTTTTGAATAATTGATTTTTAATTCAAAGTTGCGTTAAAGTGCGAGTGCGGCGCGGATTCGTTTTAGATAAATCTGTTTTAAATGCCAAATTGAATTTATTTTTCGCAAAGTTGAATCCTTTTTATTTAATTGTTGCATTGCATTAAAACAAATGCGGAATTAAACCATTTAAGTGCCGAATTAAGTCCATTCAGAAGCTGAATTGAAAGTCTGAAGTGCGAAATTGAAAAGTTTGAACACCAAATTAAATCCCTCAAGAAACGAATTCAAATAATTCCAACAACAAATCCAACAACCCCACTAAACCTCCCCCGAACTGCACCAACTTGAACTGCCGCATCAAGCCAGAACCAGAACCCCTCCTCCTGCTGCTGCTGCTGCTGCTGCTGCTGCTGCGCTGCTGCTGCTGCTGCTGCCGCTGCTGCTGCTGCGCTGCTGCTGCCGCTGCTGCTGCCGCTGCTGCTGCTGCTGCTGCTGCTGCAGGGGGGAAGTGTTGGGGATAAACCGGTTTGGGATTCAGAAGATGCGGGCGTCGACTTTGGTGTTGGCTTCTTTCGAAGAAACAAACGAACACCTTTTCGAAGCTGCTGCGCACCACCGCGCAGACCCCGTCAAAGGCGTCAGCGAATGCATCATCATGGGCAAACCCATGGCCCTCGGCACCGGCGCCTTCGACGTCCTCCTCGCACACCCCCCCTGGTCTGCTGCTGCTGCTGCTGCTGCTGCTGCTGCTGCTGCTGCTGCTGCAGTGCTGCAAGGCAGTGCTGCTGCTGCTGCAGTGCAGTGCTGCTGCTGCAGTGCTGCTGCAATGCTGCTTCTGCTGCAATGCAGTGCTGCAGTGCTGCTACTGCTGCAAGGCAGTGCTGCTGCTGCTGCAATGCTGCTGCAATGCTGCTGATGCTGCTGTTGCTGATCATAGTGATGCTCGTGGTGCTGCTGCTGCTGCTGTTGATGATGGTGATCATAATGGTGCCCATGATGGTGCTGCTGCTGCTGCTGATCGTGATGATGCTCATGATGGTGCTGCTGCTGCTCATCATAATGATGCTCACGATGGTGCTGCTGCTGCTGCTGATTATGCTGCTGCTGCTGCTGCCGCTGATGATGCTGCTGCTGCTCCTGCTGGTACGGATGCTTCCGTTGCTGCTGCTGATTCTTTCGCTGCTGCTGATGCTGTTGCTCACGCTGCTGTTGCTGCTGGTTTTGCTGCTGCTGCTGCAGTGCTTTCTTTCTTTTTGCTGCTTTCTGGTTTGTCAGTTGTTTGCCTTTTTATTTTCCTTTTGTCTTTTTGTCATTCCTGCTGGCAGCAGCCTAACAGCTCCTGAGCTAATGAATTTAATGAAAATACTGTGCTGCTGCTGCTGCTGCTGCTGCTGCTGCTGCTGCTGCTGCTGCTTGCTGCAGCACCCCGAAGCGGGAGCAGGAGACGCTTTTGGCGAAGTACAAGACGCCGCCCGCTGCAGCAGCGCGTTAGCTGTTCACTTCTCTGTTTAATTTTTAATTTAATTAATTTCTTTTTTTTCATTTGACTATTTTGTCTTTTTCAACAAAAGTAATAATGCCAAAGACATCGGGGCTTGGACCCCGAGAGATCAACTCAAGAACTCATTAAACAATTGACCAACAAGAGCATTAGTTGTTTTTAATCGGAGATAAAGTCGCCAGAAAAATATGACCAGTGGTCCACTGTGGGGTGACCACTGGTCAGCCCAGGGGGCCCCTAGGGGGGCCCCGGGAGACCCCCTAGGGGGGCCCCAGGGGGCCCCCTAGGGGGGCCCCAAGGGGCCCCCTAGGGTCCAGCATCAACACTTGCGATTTAGGCGGCGAGTTTGCGCAGCAGAGATCTGCAGTTATTCTTTATTAGTGCATTTAGATTACTTTTGGATTTGTTTTCTAGTGCATTTCAGATTAGTTTTGATTTGTTTCTTTTTTCAGATTTCTTTACTTCGCAGCTTTCTTTCAATTCCCTTTTTTGTTTGTTTTTTTGTCTTTGTTCTTTTCTTTGAACACCCCATTTGCTTGTCCTGCAGCCTTGGTGTTTAATTAAATAATTGAAGAGAATAAAATGGTCCATTTACTAGATCTTTGTCTTGTATCTTTTTTGTTTCTTTTTGTCTCTTTAAAGTTCTTTTTGTCTCTTTAAAGTTCTTTTTGTCCCTTTAAAGTCCATCCGTCTCTTCTTCCTCCTTTCTCTTTGCTTCCCCCTTTTCGCCCTTTTGGGGTTTAGGGTTTTTAGGGTTTACAAGTCAACGACTGTCTGCTAGGGTTTGGGTCTAGGGTTTACTCGGGTTTAGGGTTTAGGGTTTTCTTGGGCCGAGTGTTCACCAGGGTTTACTGGAGTAAACTAGAGATTTGGGGGTGGAAGGGTCTTCTAGGGTTTACAAGGGTATTTTTAGGGTTTACGAGAGTTGAGGGTTTGCTAGAGTTAGGGCTTCTAGGGTTTAGGGTTTTCTAGGGTTTAGGGTTTGCGCATCTGTGTTAAATCCCTCGGCGGGCTGCAGCAGCCGTTTTTGAAGAGAAATTGTTTTTGAGGCGGTGTGGGGTTTGCTGCTGGGGTGTACGTACACCCCAACTCACAGCGGGACTGCAGCAGCAGCAGCAGCAGCAGCAGCAGCAGCAGCAGCAGCTCCCCCAAACCTCTGCAGCCGCCGCTGCAGCTTTTCCTCTTCACTTTCCAGGCCAAACCGCGCGGCCCTTTTCTTCTTTTTTTCCTCCTAATCGCCCCACAAGAAACACAAAAGGTCTTTTTCTATTTTTGCAAATAAATCCATAATATATACTTTATATATATAATGCAAATAGATCTATAAGATACATTATATATATTATATATATTATATATATATATTATATATATATTATATATTATAGACTTATTTGCATATAAAAGTACTACATCATATTAATACACGCTGCACATTTATTGCATCAAAGAGCACTGGTAAATGCATATGCATGCATGCATTTAAAAGCTAAATAAACTTTGCAGAAGTGTTTAATGCATTGAGGATATATTAATAATATACTTATGAAATATTTATGCAATATACTTATGAAATATTTATAATATATTTATAGTTATAATATCTTTTTGCAGCTGTCCGCCTTTTCTGTCATTTTTGAGAATTCTTTCGCTGAATTCTCCATTTAATTTGTTTTATTTTATCTAATTCTTTGTTATTATTTGACCCTCTTGAATAAATTCATTTTTGTTGTTTAATTATTTAAAAAAACCCATTTTTGTCATTTAATTCTTTGAAATAAATTCATTTTTTTAACTAAGTCCCGCCCACCTCGTCCACGAGGCCAAACCGCTCGGCCCGCTTGCGGCGCTTTTCCGCCTCGTCTGCGTCGACTCCGGAAGCCTAAGGCCCGCAAAAGTTTAAAATGAAAAGAATTAATTTAATTATTTTAATTAATTTGATCCATTTATTTAATCTAACTCAATTAATTTGATTAAATAAATAAATTTTATTTATTTATTCGCTGAATAATTCACAAATCGCAAAAAACCAGAAGAAACGGAAAAAGAAACCCAGCTACTTCGCTCGGTACACTAAAGCCCCTTCCGCCTTTTCAACTGAAATAAAGTTTTTTATTTTATTTATTTAAACTAAATTCAATTTAATTCGGTTTTATTTTAATTCAACTTAAACAAAAAAGATAAAATAAAACCCAACAGTCTGAGCAGCTTTACCGCTGAAGCGCCGGCCGGGGAGGTCACCGCCAAGCCGAATCTGCAAAAACAAACAAAAATGGTCTAAAATTTAAAATGAAAAGAATAAAATAAGAAATAGGAAAAGAAAAAAAGATGAAGAGAAAAAAAGAAGAGAAAAAATGAAAAAAAGAGGAAAAACTCTTCAGTTTCCGATCACCCTTTTGAGGTGTACGTACACCCCAGCGCCTGAGCTGGTGTACGTACACCCCACGCCTGCGGCGGCCGAGCCTCAATCTGAGCTGTTGTTTGTGGCTTTTTTCACGGGAAAACTATTAAATGATTTATTATTTATTATTTATTATTTATTTATTTGTTATTTATTCTTTTTTTAGTCTTTTATTTGCCAAAAATACCTCTCGGCTCTCTTCTTTTTCTTTTCCTCTTCCAGTGAGGCGTCGCTGAGGCCAAACCGCCGAGCCCTCTCCATCATTTTCTCTTGGTCGCTTTTTATGCCTAAGTTCAAAATAAAAATAAACGAAATAAATTAAATTAATTTAAATTAATTTAAATTAATTTAAATTAATTTGAATTAATTTAAATTAAACTAAAGAAAATGAAAGAAATGAAGAACTCAGGAAAGAAATACACGCAAAAACATTCCACCAACAGTCCTCTGTGGCAGCGATGCAGTCTGGCGCGCCTCTAGGGTTTAGGGTTTAGGGTTTAGGGTTTAGGCCGCTGCTAGGGTTTACAAATTTTGGGTTAAGCAGGCCCTCAGGGTTTGATTAATTAGGGCTTCAGCGGCTGCCATGGTTTGCGAGATTAGGGTCTGAGGGTCTAGAGCACCAGGGTTTAAGAGGCTCTTAGGGTTTAGGGTTTAGGGTTTAGGGTTTAGGGTTTTGGGAGTCACCGAATTTGGCTTTACGAGCCGCCAGTTTTTCCTCCTCTGTCATGTCGGGCCGTATAGACACTGCAGCAGCAAACATAAAGGGTTTATTGCATGCAAATTAGATTAAAAAAAATATATAAAAATAAAACCTAAAAAAGAAATAAAGTTTAAAATGTACACAAGGGCTGCAAGAGAAGAAGTCACACAGAGTTCCCAGTGCTGCTGCTGCACCTGCTGCAGTTCGTGCTGCAGCAGCAGCAGCTGCTGCTGCTGCTGGCGAGGAGACAGCAGAAGCCGAGCTGCCGCCTAGCTTTGTAGAAGCAGCTGAGGCCTCCTCCTCCTCTGCAGCAGCAGCAGCAGCAGCAGCAGCAGCATCTGCTGGTGCTGCTGCTGCTGCCATTGACGGGGGCCCCGCCGAGGGGCCCCCCTGCGCCATGCTGCTGCTGGGAGACGCAGCAGCAGCAGCAGCAGCAGCAGCAGCAGCCTGGAGCCGCTCAACCAGCTCTGTCTGCGGAAATGCAGCAGCAAACAAACCCGCATTGCTGCAGAATGAAGCAGCAGGGGAAATGAAAAAGAATAAATGAAATAAAAAAGAAAAAAGAAAAAAAGAAAAATGAAATCCAAAAGAAACCCAAATTAATTGCATTTACTCCAAAGGCCCGTACATTTCATAGATAAGCAAATGTACAAATTACATTTAAATAATATATAATGTATATTATTTGTATATATACCATATATACATATATATATATAAATACTATATATATTACATATAATTATTATATATATTATATATTTATATTACATTCATATTATAATATATTATAATATATTATAATATATAAATATATATATATGCATTTATATATGTACACAGACGCCAAAAAGAGGCCTTGGCCCTTCTGGCACTTTCTGGGGGCCCCCCGGAGGCCCCCAGAAGGCCCCGTGGTCCACTGGTCCACTGGTCCACTGGTCACGGGGCCTGGGGGCGTCCAGGGGGCCCCCGGGTGCAGCAGAAAGTGCAGATTTTGGTGGCTGCGGGCCCTCGCCCTTGCTGCCCCGCAGCAGCAGCAGCAGCTGCTGCTGCTGCTGCTGCTGCTGCTGCACTCTCCTCACCTTTTTTCCCGTTGTCGGGAGGCCCCTGTCCGCCAGGAGGCTGCGGAGGTCCGCAACCTTCATGGAGTTGAAGTCCGGGGGCGCCGCGTGGGCCATTTCGGCTGCTGCTGCGGCGCTGCTGCTTGCGATTTCGAAAACAAATCCAAAAATAAATCCAAAATAAAATATAATTTGAATAATTCAAATGTTTTGAGCCATTAAGCGCAGCCGGAGCGCCGGAGGCGAGCGAGAGCCGCCGCGCTGGGGTGTATAGACAGCTGCACTCCGCGCGCCCGCTCTCCACACCCAAGACCCCTCAAATCTCCGTTCTTTTGCCGAAACAATTCAAAAATAAAGAAATAAATGACAAATAATACAATTTTAAAGAGTTCTGGCGAAAAACGGAGGCCAGCAGCCGCAGACGCCGTTCTCAGAACCCAGGGGCCCCCCAGCGCCACTATGGGGCTGCTGCCGCTGCAGCAGCCGACCAGTGACTCCTTACTTCCCTTCTCTGCAGTTTAATTCCTTTTTAAATCCAATTCGAGGCTTTTTAGCTTTTTAAATGCCAAATAACAATCCTGCTGCTGCTGCTGCTGCTGCTGCTGCTGCTGCTGCTTCTTGTGCTGCGGAAGGCAACTCAAGAGAATTTCAGACTCGGACTTCTTCTTTGTTTGTCTGCAGCAGCTGCAGGTCTTTCAGCGTCTTCCCGCTGAACCATTCAAAATAATGCTGCTGCTGCTGGCATCGCTGCTGCTGCTGCTGCTGCTGCTGTTGCTGCTGCTGCTGTTGCTGCTGCTGCTGCTGCTGCTGCTGAGTGTGCAAGAGCTCGAAACCAAACCAGCTCCACAAGCTGTACTTACACCGCAACAAAGCCCGAGGGAGCGGCCCTCCCAGCTGCTGCTGCTGTTTTGTCTATCTTGAACTGCTGCTGCTGCTGCTGCTGCAGTCGATCTTCTGTGGATTGCTGCTGCTGCTGCTGCTGCTGCTGCAGCTGCTGGCCGCCTTCAGAAGCTGGGGAGATGCTGCAGCGCCTCCAAGGTGTACGTACACCCGGCAGGGATATAGGGCTCCGTAGTCTGGCCCCACAAGCAGCAAACCCTCAATCCTATACAAACCCTAAACCCTAAATAAACCCTAAACCCTAAATAAACCCCACACCCTAAATAAACCCTAAATCCTGTATAAACCCTAGACTCTGAACCCAGCCCTCGAAGTGAACCCTTGACACTGAAAAACCCTAGACCCTGAGTAAACCCTACACCCTGAGTAAACCCTAAACCCTGAGTAAACCCTAAACCCTGAGGAGCTTTTAGCTGTCAGTGAAACTTGAATTCTGGACAAACCCTAAATCCTAGAAACCTCTAGACCCTAGGCAGACCCTAAACCCTAGGCCCAAAACCTCGGTAAACCCTTAATCCTAGCCAAACCCTAAACCCTCGGCAAACCCTAAACCCCAGCCAAACCCTAAACCCTCGGCAAACCCCAAGCCCTAGCCAAACCCTAAACCCTCGCTAAGCTCTAAAACCTAGCCAAGCCCTAAACCCTCGGCAAACCCTAAACCCTAGCCAAACCCTAAACCCTAGCCAAACCCTAAACCCTCAGTAAACCCTAAACCCTAGCCCTAAACCGCAAATGAAGTGCCTAGAAATAAAGCCAAGCAGCAGCAGTCTGGGCGGCGTGCTGCGGCCGCGGGGTGTACAGACACCTGGAGCCACCGCTGCATGCATGCATCTATCGAGACACGAAAAATGATATAATGAAGAAAGGGGGCCCCCCAAACCCCAGCGGCCATCAGGGGGGCCCCCATCTCCTCCTCAAGAGGGGGCCCCCCAGGGTCCCCAGGGGCCCCTTCAGGGACCTCAAGGGGCCCCCATGGGGCCTCAGGGGCCCCTTAGTGTTTTCAGGGGGCCCCCATGGGGCCTCAGGGGGCCCCCTACGGCCCTCAGGGGCCCCCATAGGGCCGCAGGGGGCCCCCTAAAGCCCTCAGGGGGCCCCCATGGGGCCCCTGCTGCCTGTGTGTGGGGCCCTAGGAGAGGGCAGGCGAGACGGGGTTCCAGGGGAGTTCTTTGTGCTGCTGCTGCTGCTGCTGCTGCTGCTGCTGGTCTCCGCCGTCCATCTGCAGCAGGTGAGCTGCTTGTTCTTCGGGAGTCTGCTGCTTGTAGTGGAGCTGCTGCTGCAGCAGGAGCAGCTGCTGCTGCTGCTGCTGCTGCTGCTGCTGCAGGGCCTCGTCGTCGCTTTCCTCATCCTCCCCTGCGACGATGGCTCCCTGCGAGCCGCGCGCAGCAGCCGCAGCTGCAGCAGCAGCAGCAGCAGCAGCAGCAGCGGGGGCCCCCTGGAGCTCCTGGGCGTAGGGGCCCCCCGGAGGGTCCTCCTCAAAAGCTGCCCACAGGGCCTCCACGTGCTGCTCGCTGCTGCTGCTGCTGCTGCTGCCCTCGGGGGGCCCCCCCGCGGAGCGGGTGGCTGTACAGTCGGTGCTGTTGGCTGCAGAGGCCGCTGCGGTGTCTGTACACCCCAAGTCCCCGAGGCCCCCGTAAAACAAATCCAAGTCCAAGGGACTCAAAGGGCCCTTTCCAGAGTCTCTTCTTCCCATGAGAGTGGCGGCATTGTCTTGTCGAATGACATCGCTGGAGCAGATGGCCTGGAGGCCCCTCGCGGAGGGGCTTCCGGGGCCCCGGGGGCCCCCCGGGGGCCCCCCGGGGGCCCCCCGGGGGGCCCCCAGCGGGGCCCCCAGGGGGCCCCCCGCAGGCGGCCGCACCCCCAGAGACAGAAAAGACTGCCGCAAAGCCTCCTCCTCCGTCAGGCACTGCCGCAGGGCCTCGTCCGAGTCTGCTGCAGCAAAAGGGGGCAGCGGGAGGGCCCCCGGGAGGGGCCCCCCCCCCGTGTGGAAGGCCAGGGAGCTGGGGGGCCACACCCCCGCCGCCTCCCCCACTGGGATCGAACGATCCCAGCACCCCACAGCGCCCGCCGCCCCCAGGGGCCCCAAGGGGCCCTGGGGGCCCCCGGAGGCCCAGGGGGCCCCGGCGGCCTTGGGGGCCCCTGGGGCCCCGGGGGCCCCGGGGGCCCCCGGGGGCCCCGGGGGCCCCGCGAAGTCGGCGGCGGGCCCACTCGGGTAGGCTAGGGACTCGAGGTACTGCTCGGCGAAGCCCCCGAGGCCCCCGTCTGCGTCCGCAGGGGCCCCGTCAGCTGCTGCTGCTGCTGCTGCTGCTGCTGCTGCTGCTGCAGTGAGGGCCCCGTAGAACCTGCCCAAGTCGCGGACTTCCTGGCTGGGGTCGTAGAGGGCGAGCTGCAGCAGGAACTGCAGCAGCAAGTCGAGGCGGGGGAAGTGCTGCTGGCTCTGCTCGCGGGTGGGGGGCGGCACGAGGCGCCCCTGCTGCTGCTGCTGCTGCTGCTGCTGCTGCTGCTGCTGCTGCTGCTGCTGCGGGGGGCCGCGGGCGGCGTTGGCCCGGTGGAAGGCCCACAGCCGCGTGGCCAGCAGCAGCAGCTGCAGCTTCACCTCTTCTGCTTCTTCTCGAAAACCCCTTATTAGCTGCCGCAGCGCATCTGCTGCTAGCCAAGAAAGCTGCTGGTGGTGGCGGCCCAGCAGCCAGATGAGGGAGGCCCTTGCTGCAGCAGCAGTGCGGCGCTGCAGCTGCGCAGCGAGCTGCAGCACGAGCCGCGCTGCTGCTGCGTCGTGCTGCTGCAGCTGCTGCTGCTGCACCAGCGTCCGCACGCCCACCACCGCCTCAGCAGCAGCAGCAGCAGACTTCGAGTCCAGCAGCAAAGCAAACAGCCGCAAACTGAAGCCCTGCGCCTGCGGGTGCTGCAGCGCCAGCAGCGTGAGGGCCCTGCATGCAGCAGCAGCAAGAGCTGCGTCTCCGTCCCAGTGTACGTACACCCGGAGTTCGGGCAGCAGCAGCGGCAGGCTGGCCGCGTCCGCCAGCCCCAGCAGCAGCAGCAGCAGCAGCTTCTGCTGCCGCACTGCAGCACAGTCTCCCTGCTTCACGAAAAACTCCCGCAAGTGCTGCTGAAACAGCCACGGAGCAGCAGCAGCAAACGAGTGCAGCACCCGCAGCAGCAGCTCCTTCAGCTCCGCCCCGCAGGTGTACAGACACCGCAGCAGCGGAGACACCACGCAGCCCCAGCAGCAAACTGGCAGCAGCTGCTGCACTGCAGCACACGCGGAAACCACCACTGCAGCACTGTCGCTGCTCAGCAGCAGCTCAGCAGCAGCAACAAACCGCTCCAGGTCCCGCGGCAGCGGCTTGCACCGCCGCTCCGCAACGCACCCGGGGGGCCCCTGCGCGGCCTCCAGACCCTCCGCTAAAGCCAAGGGGGCCCCCCGCAGACTCCGGGACGCCAAGAACGCCACGGACGACAGCCGCGGCGGGCTCACGCCGCTGCTGCCGCTGCTGCTGCTGCTGCTGCAGGTGCTGCTGCTGCAGGTGCTGCTGCTGCTGCTGCTGGCCTGCGTCGGCGACCGCTCTGCCGCCTCCCGCCCGTCCTGGGGCCCCCCCGGGGCCCCCCCCGCGAGGTCCCCCGGGGGGGCCCCTGGGGGGCCCCCCGGGGGCCCCCCGGGGGCCCCCGGGGGCCCCGCAGGCTGGGGCTGGCTGAAGAAGCAGCGGCAGTAGCGGGTAAGAAGGTCCAGGGCCACGACTTGGGGCCCCGGCTGCAGCTGCGGAAGAGCAGCAACAAGGCGGGAGAAGAAGGGGTGGAGCAAAGCAAGGACCTCCTCCTGGGTCTCGGGGGGCCCCCCGCCTTCGAGGGGCCCCCCGGGGCCCCCCTGGGGGCCCCCCGGGCCCCCGCCCCCCTGGGGGCCCCCCTGGGGGCCCCCCTGGGGGCCCCCCGGGGGCCCCGGGGAGGCGCGGAGGGACTGGAAGAAGATGAGGCGGAAGGAGACAAGTGCAGCGCCAGCAACGGCCAGCTCGCCGTCGGCCAGCAGCTGCAGCAGCAGCAGCAGCAGCTCGTGGCGCTGGTCTGCGTCTAAGAAGAAGAGTTTTGCTGCTGCATGCGCTGCAGTCTTGCGGACAAGGGGGGAAGTGTCTGCTGCTGCGCGGCGGAGACTCTGCAGCAGCAGCTGCGCAGCCTCCAGCAGCTGCAGCGAAGACAGAGACTTAAGTGCTGCTGCGCGCAGCACGTGGGAGCTGCTGCAGAGGTCCTTCTGGTAGCCGTTGAGGGCCAGCAGCGCCAAGTCCGGGGCTTCCTCTGCATGCAGCACGAGGTAAAGATAAACAAGTCTTTTGAGTTCGAAGTCGGGGGTGGAGAGGTTCTTGAGGACGTCTGCGAAGAAGGGGGGGGGCCCCGCTGCTGCTGCTGCTGCTGCTGCTGCTGCTGCTGCTTCTGCGGCCAGCACCCGCCGCAGCCCCGCCAGCTTCAGCTCCGTGCTGCTGCTCCCCAGCTGCTGCCGGATCTGCGCAGCTTGCTGCTCCCCCTCCACGAAGTAGCTGCTTTCGCTGGAGCTCACGAGCCGCAGCAGCGCGCGGACTCCCTCGGAGGCCTTCTGCAGCAGCGGCGCAGCAGCAGCTTGCGTGGCGCTGCGCACTTTCCCCACTTGCTGCTGCATCGCTGCAGCAGCCCGCAGCCCCGGGGGGCCCCCAACAAGCCCGCTGCCCTTCCGGGGGGCCCCCAACAAGCCCGCTGCCCTCCCGGGGGCCCCCGGCCCTGCGCCCCTCCGCGGGGGCCCCTGCGCATGCACGGAGCCGCCGGGTGTACAGACACCGCAGGCGCCGCCGCCGCGCTCCACAGCGCCTCTCCGCGCGGAAAGCAGCGCTTCCGAGCCTGCAACTGCTTTCTAAAGGAAGTCTTTTTGCTTTTTCTGCTGCAATTGCTTTTAAAAGAAGGCCTTTTGCTTTTTCTGCTGCTTCTCACGCGGCAGCTGCGCAGACGCGCGCGTCCACGCGCGAGCAGCCGCTGCCACCGCCGCTGCCAGCCAACGCGCAAACCCCGGAAAGCTGCGGGAAACTCGCGAGCCGCAGCGCCCCAGCCGCGCCGAAATGTGAAATACAGAAAGAACTTCGCGAAGAAAGAAGAAACTGCGAAGAAGCGCGCAGAGCCGGAGCCAGGTTTCGCGGGAGAGGCGCGCGCAGACAGCTCACGGCCGACGCATTGATTTGTCAGGAGCCACGGGAGCCAACACGGAATCTTTCGGATAAAAAGAACAACACAAGAAAGTTATTTTCAAGAAACAAAAGCTAAAAAAAACTGCTGCACAGAAACCCAGGATCAGCCGCCCGCCATCCACAGCCCCCGCCCACGCCGCCGCGCCTTCACGCCCGCTGCTGCCTCTGCCTCCTCGCCCGCCCCTCCTTTCCACTTTTGGACTTCATTTCCAAATTCTAAAAACTATTTCCTTTCTTTTTCTCCTTGTCAGTGCCCAACGGACCCGGGGGGCCCCCCAGACTCGCCGCCCCCCCGCCCGCCGCCTATATATAACCTCTCCACGGCGAACTGAAGTTGCGCGCTGGGGGCCCCCACGGCCAACATTTCGCTCCTTCTCCCTTTTGCATTTCTGTCTTTAGAGAGCTGCTGACGAAAAGCTCGCAAAAAGGTCCAGAAGGACCCCAGCTGCTGCTGCAGCAGCAGCTGCTGCTGCTGCTGCTGCTGCTGCTGCGGCTGCTGCTGCGGCAGTGCGAAGGCCGCAGCAGCAAAGCAGCAGCAACGCCTGCGCACGGCGCTGCAGCCGCAGGGACCACGGCTAGCTGGCCAGCAGCAGCTGGCAGCAGCAGCGCTCTGCAGCAAAGTAGCCAGCGCCCCACACCCGGTAGAATGCCCTGCAGCGTGGGCAGCTAGCTAGCTAGCTAGCTATACAAGGGGGCCCCCCGCGAACTCTGGCTCCTCGGAGCTGTAAGAGGGGCCCCCAGCTAGCCATTATTCCTGTTCGCTAGCTAGCTACCTATAGGTCGAACCCCCAGGCAGTTCTGGCTCCTCCTAGCTAGCTAGCTAGCTATGAGGAGCTCCTTAGGTAGTTCTGGCTCGCTGTAGCTAGCTAGCTACCTAGAATGGGGCCCCCAGGTTGTCCTGGCTTGTAGCTAGCTGGCTAGCTATCCAGCTGTAAGGGGGCCCCTAGGCAGTTCTGGCTTCCCCGAGCTAGCTAGCTAGCTAGCAGGCCCGTAGGTCGTTCGGCCCCCCTCTGGCTATCTAGCTAGCTAGCAGTGGGCCCCTAGGTAGACCACGCTTCTTATGGCTCGCTAGCTAGCTAGCTAGCTCGCCAGCTAGCTAGCTAGCTAGCTGGCTATCTCTCTAGCTAGCTAGCTAGCTAGCTAGCTAGCTAGCTAACCAGTAGTGGAGTGCATGTAGGTGCAGCAGGAGCTGTCCGTACACCCCAGGGGCCTCGCTAGGGGGAAGAAACGAGAAAGGAAATAAATGAACAGCCAAATAAATAAACAACTAAATAATAAATAAATAAACAACAAATAAATAATAAATAATAATAAATAAATAAATAATAAATAAATAAATAATAATAAATAATAAATGAATTAAAGTTCTGTTGCTATTTGGCGTTCCCGCTGCTGGCCCTGCGTTTGGCGGGAGGCGGGAGCGCCTTGAGAGCAGCAGCGTGCTGCTGCCTCTTGCCGCGCTTGCTGCCCTGCTGCTGCTGCTGCTGCTGCTGCTGCTGCTGCTGCTGCTGCTGCTGCTGCTTCCGGGCCAAGTCCGAAGGCCTGCTGACTGCAGCGCCGAAGAAGTTTTCCAATCGAGTTTGAGTGATGAGTCCGCGGGCCCTGCGCAGGCGCTGTATGTACACCTCAACGCGGGCCTCGCTGAAAGTGCGCTCCTGCAAAGTTCACAAATTTAATTAAATAAATTAAATTAAATTTAATTAAATTTATTTAAATGCACAACCAGCGATGAAGTGAAAGGAGACAGAGAAAAGGAGACAAACAGCAGCAGAAAGCAGCAAAACGGCGAAGAAATCGAGAAAAAAAGGACACAAATTCAATTAGCAGCAGCAGCAGCAGCTGCTGCTGCTGCTGCAGCTGCCGTTGCTGCCGCTCCTGCTGCTACTGCTGCTACCACCACTGTTGCTGCTGCTGCTGCTACTCCTGCCACTACTGCTCCTGCTGCTGCTGCTGCGACTCCTGCTCCTACTGCTACCGCTGCTGCTGCTGCTACCGCTGCTCTGCTGCTGCTGCTGCTACCGCTGCTCCCCTGCTGCTGCTGCTGCTGCTGCTGCTGCTGCAGTTGCTGACATTGACGAGGAACTGTTTGAGGCCCTGTTCGTCGACGTCCGCCCACTTGAAGGCGAGGGTGTGGGGCGCAGCAACAGCAGGTTGTTTGAAGCAGCAGCGGGCCCTTTGGAAGCAAAAGTTGTTGGGGACTTGGAACTTGTCTCTGTTTAAAGAAGCCAAGACAGCCTCGATGCTGCCCCTGTCTCTTATCCAGTTGTAGGCAGTGTGGGGCCCCACACCTTTGATGCTGCTGCAGTAGTCGCAGCCGCACAAGATGCAGAAGTCTATGAACTGGTCCATGTTGAGTTGCAGCTGCTGCAGCACGGCCTCGAGGTGGATGGAGACCACGGGCTGCCCGCGGCCGCCCGCTGCTGCTGCTGCTGCGCTGCTGCTGCTGCTGCTGCTGCTGCTGCTGTCGCTGAAGGTCAAGTTGCGCAGCAAAATGGGGGCCCCGAAGGTCAGTGCATCCGCGTCTTCTGTTGCTGCTGCCCACACTTTGCCTGCACGAGCTAGTGCAGCACACTGGGCCTCTGCTTCCCCCGGGGCCTGCAGCAGCGGCAGCCCCAGCAGCAGCAGCAGCCGCTTCACGTCTTCGTTTTGTTCCCGTGTCACTCGCACGCTGCGGGCCAGCTGCTTCCGCAGTTCTGCTGCGTCTCCCGCTTCTGCTGCTGCTGCTGCTGCTGCTGCTGCTGCTTCCCGCCGCTCCCGACGACGCTCCAGCTCCGACGCCTTCTCCTCAGGCGCCTCCCCGTCAAACACAAACACAGGCCGAATCCCCTGCTCCAGCATCCTAAGCAGCAGCAGCAGCAGCAGCAGCAGCAGCAGCAGCAGCAGCGGAGAGCTGTTTCGCCGCGCAGCGTCTGCAGCACTTCTCCCAGCAGCAAGACAGCAGCTAAGCTGCGCGCGAGCAGCAAAACCCACGCCACGCACGCCGAAGCCAGCAAAGCACCCGCGCCCGCACCCGCAGCAGCAGCAGCAGCAGCAGCAGCAGCAGCAGCAGCAGCAGCAGCAGCAGCAGCAGCAGGCACCTGGTGACGCGGGCCAGCATGCCGGCCAAGTGGCTGGTGACCTTGCCGGAGTCGTCCGTCAAGTTCCCCAAAGTCTGCGCGTCCCGCACTGCAGTCAAAAACTGGTAAAGAGCCATCGAAGTGTCCACGGCCACCACGCGGCCCAGCAGCGAGGCCCTGGGCTCCACGCGGAGGGCCCCTGGCGCGTGGTCCGCGAGGAACTTCGTGAGGCCCTTTATCCCCATTATTTCCGGCTTCGGGGGGCCCCGGGGGGCCCCGGGGGCGACGGGGGGGCCCCGGGGGGGCTGCGGGGGCCCCGGGGGGCTTCGCGGGGTCTGGGGGGGCCTCGGGGGCCCCTGGGGAGCTTCGCGGGCCCTGGGGGGCCCTGGGGGGCCCTGGGGGCCCCGCGGGTCTTCGGGGAGCAGCGGCGGCGCCGCTGCGGGCGGGAAGCGCGGGAAGCAGAGGGCTGTGCTGCTGCTGCTAAGCTCCTTCGTCTTCTTCGGGAAAATTAAACCCGAAATTCACTTTTTAAAAAGAAATGGCGCTCTGGATCTCGCAAAGCGGCTCCGAATGCACTGCAACCACTTGGGGTGTCTGCGCAGACACCCGAAAGAGCAGCGCGAACTGCACACTCCGAGAGCACCCACAGGCTCAGCTGCGCCGTCAGCCAGTTTAGCGTTTATTAAATCAATTTCAAAAACTAAAACCTTTTAAAATAAATGCAAAGAAAAACAAACTCCCGGAGATCGAAAGAAGACGCCCCAGAAGGACCCCAGCGTTCCACTACTGGCTGAGGGGCCCCGGTGGTGGGCAGCACTCCGGGTAGAAGGAAAGTGCTGCAAAGAGCTCGCTGTTTCGCACTTAATTGAAACAGATAAATATAAATTGAATTAATTAAACATTTTTAATTCATATTTTACCCCTATTTTGCTTTTGAACTCTCCAGAAGGAGAAGAACGAGGGTCGGCAGCAGCGCGGGTGGGGGCTGTGTTACAGGAGCTGTACAGACACCTCAGCAGGTGGCTCTCTGCAGACAGCTGCTGCTGCTGCTGCTGCTTTATTTCATATTTGTTTATTTGCTGCTTCGGGCTTAAAATTAAGTCTAAGTGGAGGCAGCAGCAGCAACAACGACACAAAACGAGCAACTGACGGACACACACGGGCCAAGTGGCGCTTCCGTCTCCGCTGCTGCTGTTGTTGCTGCTGCTGCAGCAGAGGCTACAAGAGCAGTAGCAGCAGCAGCAGCAGCAGCACCTGCAACTGCTGCTGCGGCTGGCAATTCCTTACGCGCGCCTAGGTGCAGCGACCCCTCCTCCCTATGGCCAAACCCTAGACCCTAAACCCTAAACCCTAAACCCTAAACCCTAGACCCCTTGAGGAAGCCGGAGTATCATTCTAGATTCAAAAAAACAAAAACAAATGCATATCTGCGCCAGCGCTCTGCCTGCTGCTGCAGACTTTGCTGCTGCTGCAGCAGCAGCTGCCCTCTAGCGAGACTCTTCGAATATATTTATACCTTCTTTCCCCAGAAATATACTTATACATTTATTAATTTAAATATTTATATATATATATATATAAAAATATATATATTTATATATATTATATTATTGCAGCTGCACTGCATATAAATAAATAAATAAACACGGGCATGAATGCACCCAGGACTCAGCTACGGCCATTTGTGTTGTAAATAAAAAGAAGAAATAAATATAAAAAAGAATTTAAAAATATTATAAATAAATAAAAACGAATTAACAATAAATAGTCTTTTTATTTCGCACAGCGCCGCAGGAGGCGCAGCTTTGAGCCTAAACGGTGCCTTGCATGCAGAGTAAATCGATAAATGAATTATATTTTTATTTACTTATATTTATTTACTTATTTTATTGTTAATTAATTAATTAATTAATTAATTAATTAATTAATTAATTAATTATAAAAGAAATAAATAAATAGGTTTTAAAGGATACGCGGCGCATTCGGCGCATGCATTTAAGGAGCCAAATACTCAGCAGCCGCCTCTGCGCAGCGGGACAGGGAGCGCAGCAGCAGCAGCAGCTGCTGCAGTAGCAGCAGCAGCAGCAGCAGCAGCAGCAGCAGCAGCAGCAGCAGCGGCAGCGAGGAAAGCCGGGGGCTTGAGGTTTGGGGTGTAGGGTCTAGGGTTTAGTGTTTAGGGTTTGGGGACGGCACAGCGACTTCAGATGGACTTCTCGGCTGCTGCGGTGGCCCCCGGCTGCCACCTTTCTGCTGTTGCTGCTGCTCCAGCGGGTTCTCGCTGCTGCTGCAGCACGAATTCTTGCTGCTGCAGCAGCAGGCTTTTGCTGCTGCTGCGGCAGCAGCAAGGCCTCATCACGCCAGGCCCGAAAGAAGATGAAGGGCGGCTCCGTAAGTGCCTCTGATGACGCGCTGCTGCTGCAGCAGCTGCAGCAGCAGCAGCTGGAAGCGCAGCAGCAGCTGCGGCAGGAGCTGCAGCAGCAGCTGGAGCAGCAGGAGCTGGAGCAGCAGCTTCAGCAGGAGCTCGACAACTTCCTAAACGACACAGAATTATATTTTAACAGCAGCAGCAAACAAGCTGGGGGCCCTCCTTCCTTTGCTATTCCTGAAAGCCTCCTGGGGTCCCCAGCTGCTGCAGCAGCAGCTGCTGCTGCTGCTGCTGCTTCCTGCATAGACTCAAACGTTCTCTGTGGCTCCTTCGAGGCTCTGGAGGTGCCCTTTGACGCAGAGCCAGCTGCAGCGGCAACAGCAGCAGGAGCAACAGCAGCAGCAGGAGCAACAGCAGCAGCAGGAGCAACAGCAGCAGCAGCAGCAGCAGCAGCAGCAGGCGAGCAGGCAGGAGCAGCAGCGCCTGAAGATGAAAAGGGTTTGCCAAACCCTTTCGAGCTCTTTATCGAACAGGTGCAGCAAGAGCTCAGCGGTGCTGCTGAAGAAGCAGCAGCAATATCGGTTGAGCTGCAGCAAGCGCTGCAAGGCTTTACGGACTATAAAAGAGTGCAGCAGGAGCAGCAGGAGCAGCAAGAGAAGCAGCTGCAGCTGCAGCTGCAGCAGCAAGAGCGCCAGCAGCAGGAGCTGCAGCAGCAAGAGCAGGAGCAACTGCAGCAGCTGCTGCAGCAGCAGCAACAGCAACTGCTGCGGCTGCAGCAAAGACAACGGCAGAGGGAGGCAGAAAAGGATGGATTCGAGCAGCCGCCTGTGCTGCAGCCTGCAGCATCCGCTGCTGCTGCTGCTGCTGCTGCTGCTGCTGCTGCAGACGTCGCAGCAGCAGCAGAGACTGCTCCAGTAGCGGCAGCCACTGCTGCGGAAGATACAAAGACGGGCGCTGCTGCAGGCCCTCCACTTTCCCTGTCTTCTGCCTCAGAGGAGCCTGCTGCTGCTGCTGCTGCTGCTGCTCGTGCTGCTGTGGCTCCCTGCTCAGCTCCTGCAGGCATGCAGCAACAGCAGCAGCAGCAGCAGCAGCAGCAGCAACTCGCAACGACTTTGGCTAGGAAGAGCCAACCTGAATGTAATGGGGAAGAGGCGTCACAAGACCACACAGCAGCAGCAACAACAGCAGCAGACGTAGCAACAGCAACAGAAGCAGGAGCAGCAGCGGAAGCAGCAGAAGTAGCAGCAGCAACAGAAGCAGGAGCAGCAGCGGAAGCAGCAGAAGCAGAAGATAGCAGCAAAGACAACCTTGAGGTGTTTATCATGAAGGGGAGAGACTTCAACAATCCGCAAGAAATGCAGCAGGCAAAAAGGGAACTGCAGCAGCTGCAGCTGGCCCTGCTTGCTGTGGAGGAGGAGGCGCAGCAGCAGCAGCAGCAGCAGCAAGCAGCAGCTCTGCTGGAGCAGCAGCAGCAGCAGCAGCACGAGCACAAGGTGCAGCAGCTGCAGCTTAAAGCCAAGAGACGAATTCAAAAGGAAGCACTTAGAGAAGAAAGAAAAAGAACTCAGCTGTACGCACAGCTCGGCCTTTTGCCCCCAGAGCCAGCACAGGCTGTGTCTCTTGCTGCAGCAGCAACAGCAGCAACAGAGGCAGCAGCAGCAACAGCTGCAGCGACAGTTGCAGCACCAGCCGCTGCAGCAGCGGGCCAATCGCCAGCTGCCACTGCTCCTTCAGCAGCAGGGCATCCTTCTGCTTTTCCCTCTTCAGAAAGTGCGCCTCCAATGGAACAGCAGCAACAGCAGCAGCAGGAGCAGCAGCAGCAGCAGCAGCAGCAGCAGCAGCACAGGGAGCAAGAGACCCAGCAACAGCAACAACAACTGGAACGCCATCAGCAAAGCAACCTGTCCCTTCCGGGTGCAGCTGAAGTTGCTAATGCTGCTGCAGTCTTTGCTGATCCAGCAGAAGATATCCTAGAGCCGGAGCTGCAGCAGCAGCAGCAGCAGCAGCAGCAGCAGCACAGGCAGCAGCGGCAGCAGCCGCAATTGGACCCTGTGGGGCCATTTGAGAAGAGCAGCAAGACGTGCACACCGGCATCTTCTGCTGCTCATGCTGCTTCCGCTACTCCTGTTGTTCCTGCTGCTCCTAGTGTTCCTGCTGCTCCTATTGTTCCTGCTGCTCCTGCTGCTGCTGCTTCTGCTGCTGCTGCTGCAGTGGGTTTTAGGTCAGTGAAGCCACACTGGTTCACCTGATCTTGCTAACATACCCATTTGCTGCTGCTGCTGCTGCTGTGGCTGTGCTGCTGCTGCTGCTCTTAAGTGGGCCACCTTGTGCGGCGCTGCTCTTTGTGCAGCTGCCGCTGGGCTGCTGCTGGTGACGGGCCAGCCGTGGCTGCTGCTGCTGCTCTTGCTATTGCTGCTGCTTCTGCTGCTTCTAATGTTGCAGTTGCTGCTGCTGCTGCTGCTGCTGGTATTGTCACTGCTGCTAATTTTTTTTGCTCCTGTTGTTACCTTCCCTTCTGCCGTGCTGCTTCAGTGAATATTATTGCTGCTACTTCTGTTGCAATTATTGCTGCTGTTGCCGCTCTTCTGTCGCAGCTGCATTTGCTGCAGCTGCTGCACTTGCTGCTGCTGCTGCACTTGCTGCTCCGCCTTGCATAATCGTTGCTGCTGCTATAATTGCTGCTGCCTTTGCTACTCTTATTACGTCTGCTGCTGCTGTCCTCAGTATTGCTGCTGTATGTATGCTGCTGCTGGCACTGCCGCTTCTTCTCCCTGCTGCTGCCGCTGCTACTGTTGCCACTACCGTTGCTGCTGTCACTCTTGCGATTGCTGCTGCTGCTGCTGCTGCTGCGACTTTTGCTGCGGCTGCTGCTCCAACCACTTCTGCTGCGACTCTCACAATTGCTGCTGGCCTGACTTTTGCTGCTGCTGCTGCTGCTGCTGCTGCGCCTTTGCTAGCTTTTTGTCGCGGTCTCGGGAGCAGCAAGAGCGCCACTTGATGTCGAGTGAAGAAATTCGACAAAGACAATTTGCTTTTGAAGCTGAGGAAAGAACAGAGTGGGCCCCACACGCAGAAGAGCAGCAAAGCCAAAACAAACAAATAAAGACAGCTTGCTGCTGCTGCTGCTGCAGCAGAAGTTTTCGTAATTTCCAGCAAATTGACTGGGCCAGCAGCAAAATTAGAGTGCTTTTATTTGGCGCAAGACGCAAACATTTAAATGCTTCTTGGCCTCGACTTTGGACATTTAATTCTGTTTAAAAGGCATTAATTTGAAGACTGGCAAGCTTTTAAACTGGTGTAATTTCCGAAAAAGTCAAAAATGCTGCAGCAAAAATGGCTGAGTGCTGCAGGGGGGAGCGCCGGGAGATGGAGGCGGAGGATCGGCGGAGTCGCGCGGTGTACATACAGCAGCAGCAGGAAAAAGTAGAGCTGCCGCAGATGGCCTGGGAGGACGCTTTTGGCCACTTGCTGCGGCAGCAGCAGCAGCAGAAGCAGCAGCTGCTGCTCCTGCTGCAGCGCAGCCGCCTGCTGGTCTCCCGCCTCCACGCCTGGGGCTGCAGGGCGAGGCAGCAGCTGCAGCAGCAGGCCCTTGCTGCGCTGCTGCAGTTCTCGCGAGCAGCAGCAGCAGCGCTGCAGCGGCAGCGGGCTGCTGCGCTGCTGCAGCGAGCCTGGCGGCGCCACCAGCAGCGGGAGCAGCGGCGGCGGCAGCAGCAGCAGCAGCAGCAGCAGAGGAGGCAGCAAGCTGCCTCTAAACTCGCGGCCTTGTGCGAGGGTTCTGTCTTCCCTGCCCAGCAAAGAGCCTTGCTGCTGCTGGCGATGCAGCAGCTGCAGCAGCACGCAGCAGCCCGCAGGCGCCTTGCTGCTGCTGCAGCCACCCGCATAGCAGCCGCGTGGAGAGCCTACGCTGCTAGGAAGACTTTCAGGCAGCAGCGGCTGCTGCTGCTGCTGCTGCTGCCGCAGAATGAGCAGCACAGAAAACGCATGCTGCAGCTGCAGGCTTGCTGGAGAGGGGCAGCAGCAAGACAGCGCCTCCGCCGCAGTGGCTTCCTGCTGCCCTGCGAGAAGCAGCAGCACCAGAAAGCAGCAAAGATACAGGTGCGGCAGCAGCAGCAGCAGCTGCTGCTGTGGGGCCCCAGGTGTCTGTACACCCCAGAGAAGCGCAGGCGCTGCTTTCCAGGCGCATTCGTCTGGTGTCTGTTTGTTTGTCTCTTTCTGCCACAAATGCATTAAGGAGTTTACCACTATTATCGTTAATTATTTATTTTTCTGTTTATTTGATTATTTCATAATAAGTATATTTAGTCCAAACATTTAATTAATTGTACATTTATGCATTTTATTTGCTGCAGACTTCTGCAGCTGCGTCTCTGCTGCGCTGCTGTGCATGCGCAGCGTGCATTCGTGTGTCTGTACACCTGCTTTCGTGTTGCAAAGACATTTCAAAAAGTTCAATTTGTGCATTAAACCCTTTAAGCCTCAAAAATATGCATTTTGGACTTGTGCAAAAGCCCATTTAAATGCAACAAGTGATTAAATATATCATTTTAGACTTAAAATCCGGCAAATGCGCTCAAGTTGGTGCGAAGTACTTTTGCTGTTCTGCTGCGGCTCAACTATATTGGGGTGTACGTACACCGGAAACACGCCGCGGCTTCTAGCTCAGTTTCCGGTGTACGTACACCGCAATCTCGGCAAGCCGAAATGCAAAAATAGAAACGCTTTTGCAATAATAATAAATATAATAAATATATTTTCAACAACCTCAGCGCCTTCTCAACGCGTGGGCTTATTACAAGTGATCTTCAGTGTGTAGCAGTGTGGTGTTTGTACACAACAATGCATGCGCAGTGTATGAACACAGAGTTTATGTAATTCAAATGTGCATATCTATAACATATATATACTGTGCACATATATATATATATATATATTTAAATATAATTTAAATGTAAACATATATATACATTTAAATATAAATCAAATGGCTGATTCAAATAGCATGTGCAGCATCCATATAAATGGCGTATCCAGAACATGCATTTTTTTGAAATTGACCCTCTTGGCTATCTCTGCTGCTGCTGCTGCTGCTGCTGCTGCTGCTGCAGGCTGCCTTCAGGGGCTACCGTGTGCGGCGTTTGCTGCGGGAGGCTCGGGAGGAGGCGTTGGCTCTGCATGCATCCCTGGACGCTGTGCTGGAGGAAGTGCAACAGCAGCAGCAGCAGCTGCAGCTGCCGCTGCTGCCGCTGCTCTCCTTTGGGGCCCTGGGGCCCCCGGGGCCCCTGGGGCCCCTAAGCCCCGTAAGGCCCCTGGGGCCCCTGGGGCCCCTAGGGCCCCCATGGACCATGGGCCCCACGGGGCCCCGGGGGCCCCTGGGGCCCTTGGGGCCCCTGGGGCCCCACAGCTGCAACCCTTGGCGCTCAGGCCTTCTGAGGGCCCTGAGGCTTCCCCACTCTTTCACAGACTCTGTGCGGCGCAGTCTGGGGCTGGGGGCCCCCGTAGGCCTTTACTCGGAAGCCTTGCAGCAGCAGCAACTGCAGCAGCAGCTGCGGCTACTGCAGCAGCAGCAGCAGCAGCTCTTGCTGCTGCGCAACGAGCAGCAGCCGCAGCCGCTAGCAACAAACAGATACCACTATCAATGGGCCTCTAAACCCTCAGCTTCGCCGCCAGCACCACCCCGACAAGAGAATCAGCAGCAGCAGCAGCAGCAGCAGCAGCAGCAGCAGCAGCAGCAGCAGCAGCAGCAGCAGCAGCAGCAGCAGATCGAAGCGGCGGGTTTGGAACCACCGTTCAGCTCATTCTTTCTCTTGCCGGCGCCAACTATGTGCAATTCTCTCTCTTCTATCGAGACTAAATCAGCTGCCTCTGCAGCAGAAGCAGCAGCAGAAGCAGCAGCAGCAGCAGCAGCAGCAAAAGTCAGCTCGCAAAAGGACCCCCCGGATGCGTTTGTGGCTGCGGAGGGTCCCAAAAGAGCAGCAGCAGCTGAATGTGCTGAGCTACAACCGCATTCCTCTGCCGGGCAGCAGCAGCAGCACCAGCAGCAACAGCAGCAACAGCAGCAACAGCAGCAGCAGCAACAGCAGCAACAGCAGCAACACCAGCAGCAGCATCAGCAGCAACCGCAGCAGCAGCAGGGACAGCAACAGCAGCACCAGCAGCAGCAGCAGCAACAGCAGCAACAGCAGCAGCAGCAGCAGGAGGGCACTGCAGAAAGCTCTGCTGCGTCCGGCGTCGCTTCTGCTGCTTCTGAGCGCCTCCAGAATGGGTTGCAAGAGAGTGGCTCCATGTTGGTCTTGCTGCTGCTGCTGTTGCTGCCTTTGCCGCTGTGCTGCTGCTGCCGCTGCTGCTGCTGCTGCTGCTGAGATTTGGCTGCTCGCTGAGTGCTGCTGCGCAGTGTTGCTACCACTGGTGCTGTTGCTGTTGCTGCGGCTAAAATTTGCTGCTGATGCGCGTTGCTTACACCTTAGGCTTGAAGACCACGACCTTCTTCCGCAGCAGAAGCAGCAGCCACAGCAGCAGCAGCAGCAGCAGCAGCAGCAGCAACAGGCGCAGCAACTGACACTGCAGCAGCAGAAACCGCAACAGGGGATATACGAGCAGCAACGATTTGTAGCGCATCCTTCACACCTGAACAATAATTCACAGCAGCAGCAGCAGCACCACCACCAGCAGCAGCAACAGCAGCAGCAGCAGCAGCAGCAGCAGCAGCAAGAGCAGCCAGCATTACACTTGAAGCTGCTTCATGGCGCTCCTGCAAAGGCATCGCTTGCAACTGCCCCTTCCAGCTTTCCTGCCCCTCAGAATGGCCCAGCCCAGGGGCCTGCTGCTGCTGCTGCTGCTGCTGCTGCTGCTGCTGCTGCTGCTGCTGCTGATGCGTCCTCAGGGGCTGGGGCCCCCACTGGCAACACTGGTATTGATGAGCTGCAGGACAAATACAAGTAGGGCATAACTCACTCTTGAACTTTGCTGCTGTTTGTTCGTCTCTGTTTACTCCTTAGTCCCGTACCGATGCTGCTGCTGCTGCTGCTGCTGCTGCTGCTGCTGCTGCTGCTGCTGCCAGCTCGCACGCCCGTGCGTATCCGCCTTCCTTTCTTTTTGCGTTTTTGCGTGTCTCTGTCTCTTTGCCTTTTTGTTTCTTTGTGCACATTTTTTCGAGCATTTTTATTTTTCTTTTTTTCTCCTTTTACCCTTACTTGTCTGAGCAGCAAATAAATATTTATTTAAATGTAGGAAAGCATTTTTGTGCTTTTTATGATTCTGCAGTTTCCTACCTTCTCTTCATCTTTTTCTTTCTTTGAATTTATATTCCATTCATCTTTGTTAGTATTTTGTTTATATTTCATTGATATTTCATTGATATTTCATTTATATTTCCTTTATATTTCATTTGTTTCATTTATATTTCATTTATATTTCTTCTTTGCTTTACGTTTAATTTTTATTTCTTTTGCATTTCTTTTATATTTCTTTTTGTTTCATTTACATTTCATTTTTTAAATGAACTTCTTTAAATGCATTTTTGCATCTTTGTACTTTTTCTTTGTCCCCTTGGCGCATCTTTTTGCGCAGATCTGTTTAAGTGTCTCCTTTCATGTCTTAAAATAGATTTAAAAATATTTATTTTCCTTTTCATTATAAAAACAGATTTAGAAGTATTTTTTATTTTTCTTTTTATTATACTTTCTTTTAGTTTCCCTTTTCTTTGTCTCCTGTTTGCTTTTCTTTCTGTCTCCTTGCTGCCGCATGCTGCTGGTGTCTTTTTCTCTCTCTTTGAAATCGTTTCAAAACAGCAGCACTAAATAACTTCAGCAGCAGCAACAGCAGCAGTAGCAGCAGCAGCCCGAAACAGCTGCTGCTAAGCAGCAGCAGCAGCTGCTAGCTGTTTGTCTGCCGCGCACTTCCCGCGCGAGGCCTCTCTTGATTTTTTAATTTAAATTTAATTTAGTTTTTTGTTTCCTTCGACTTATCCTGTGGCTGCTTAGGAAGCACCAGATGCAGTGGCCTGCTCAGCAGCAGCAGCAGCAGCAGCAGCAGCAGCAGCAGCAGCAACGGGCGCTGCTGCAGTTGCAGGAGATGCAGACGCAGCAGCAGCGGCAGCAGCAACAGCAGCAGACACAGACACCCGAAGGCCTTCTGCAGCACGCACAAACGCAAATCCCTCAGCAGCAGCCGTTGCAGCAGCGGCACCCGCTGCAGCAGCAGCAGCTGCGCAACCAGCAGCAGCTGATGCACAAGCAGCAGCAGCAGCAGCAGCAGCAGCTGCACCAACAGCAGCAGCAGCACCAGCAGCCGCTGCAGTGGCAGCAGCTGCACCAACAGCAGCAGCACCCGCCGCACCAGCAGCAGCAGCAGCAGCCGCTGCACCAACATCAGCTGCCGCTGCAACTGCAGTCGCTGCAGCTGCAGCAGCCGCTCCACAAGCAAGAGCCGCAGCAGCAGCAGTCGCTACAGCAGCAGTCACTGCAGCAGCAGCCGCTGCGGCAGCTGTCGCTACAGCAGCCGCAGCAGCAGCAATCGCTACTGCAGCAGTCACTGCAGCAGCAGCCGCTGCGGCAGCTGTCGCTACAGCAGCAGCAGCAGCAGTCACTGCAGCAGCAGCCGCTGCAGCAGCTGTCGCTACAGCAGCAGCAGCAGCAGAAGTCACTACAGC